TAATTTTTTTTTTAATCAATCACATTATATAATATATTTATATTTTTTATATTATATTCGATACATGAAATATAAAAATTTTTAAAATCTCTAAAATTGTGTATATGAATTAAATGTAAATTAATTTTTCACTAATTTTTTATCAATGCGCACAATCACAGGTCCGTAGTAAAACTATTTTTTATTTAATTATAAAATTTAGTTGAGATCATTATCAATCTTATAGAGAAATTTCCTATTCGAAATAGTTTGAAATATTTTTGGGTTACAATCTTTTATCATTTATATACAATCATATTTTATTAGGTTATAGACTACTATTATTAAAAAAATTAAAAATAAAAATTAAAAATTATTCTTCAAAAAGTAATGAACATTGTGTTAAATAAAGAAAAATATTATATTTTTGTCAATATACAAATAGATCATTGACTCAATTCAAAACTACCATATTTATTTTAGAAGGTTAGTGGTCTATTAATTTATTGAAAAAAGAAAAAATTAGAATCATTATTAAAATTTTAAAAAAATTTAAAGGGATAAATATAATGTATAAAATAATTTTATAAGTCGGTTATCTGAAGTGATTCAAAAGTGAGAGGGGGCAAGTACCCACCCTGATCCCCACGTGGCTCCGCCCATGGTTATCTGTGTCTCCTATCTCGTGCTCTTTTTTGTAATAACAATGTTACGATGATCGAGATTTTTATTAATTTTTTTTTGCATCTCAAGCAATATGATACAATGTTTATCATAGAAAAAAGTGGGTGGTCCCACTTAGTAAGCATAACATTATTATTTTTAAAATGAAGAAAAAATACATTTTTCCCATTTTTTTATGCGATGAAAATAAGATATGTATAAAGAGTTGAGATGAAATTCTTTATATATATTTTAAAATTCGGGGGATCCATGTTACCAAGGATATCATATGTAAGACTGTTAATTAAATCGAACTACTAGAAGTCGACTTGGGTTCGACTTGTTTTTAACTCGTTCAACCCTGATTTATTTTCTAAATGAGCCGAACTTGAACAATTAGCAATTAGTTTAAGGGTGAATATTTAAACTAGGTCCGACTCTATAACATTAAGTAATTAAGGACTTTAGGCTTTCACAAAGCTGACTCTAACTATGTATGTTAATAAAATGGTGTAGCTCGTAAATTTAAACTTCATTAAAATTTAAACCATTGGTAAAAAAGATATCATAAAAGGCAAATTTCAAAAAAAAAATTCAATATGCAAATGAAAAGGATAATTACCAAATAATATTATTTTTTATCACATAATTATATTGAAGTCAACCGCTAATTTCACTCGAATCATACGCATATAGAGATATAATAGATAAATTATATTTTCAATTGAGAGTCTATTTGAACAATATATTTGTTTGAAACTATTTCTCATCGATCATAAAAAATTCATCTTGACGGGTTTTTTATATGTTATATCAAAATCGCAAAGTTATTAAATAAAAATTTAATAAGTAATCTTAATAATACCTCTAAAATTCAATTGAAACAAGTTAATCATCAATCTTAGAAAATTAGAGATCAATTGTAGGCTAATTATAAAAAAATTAAATTTTNTATATATATATATATATATATATATATATATATATATATATATATATATATATATATATAGTGAATAATATCTTGTATATACTCTATCAACAAAGGGAAAAGAAGAAAAAGTATAAATCTCACATCAATGACATTAAAATGAAGAAGTTTGATATTTTGGATATTCGATATCAACAAAGAAGGGAAAAGAAGAAAAGGATGGTGCATAAATTCATATGGTCTTAACACCCATCATCTCATTAAGTTTCTTAACCACAACGCATAAATTATTATGTCGGCCAATGACCCACTTGAGCGTATGATAATTCAGGAAAGATCATGATGCAATAAGAAGATGACGATGGAGAAGAATCAATCTCTCCAAAGTTTCGACTGTTATGAAAGCTAAAGAATTTACTAATTACCATCTAAATAGGATACAAACCCACTTTATTGTAGATTTTTTTTTTTTTTACGACCAAGTGTTTAGACTTGTGCCAAGTATTTTCTCAAACATTGAATCGGCCATTATAACTCAAAAGCTAGTTTAAGGACATGTTTCTTAAAAAATAATGGTTATTGTCCCTTGGGGGGTGTGAAAGTATTGAACCTGAAACCTCTTATTTGCAAGAGAATCGACTTAATCACTAGACCACCCCTAAAAATCACTTCATCATAGATTGCTCCCATTGTATTGAGAGAAAATGTGTTTAGAGAGAATTTAATACATTAGAGAGTATCTTTTCTGAAACAAAGAGTAAATTTCATAATAATTTAAAATATAANATATTGCTCCCATTGTATTGAGAGAAACAGAGAGAAAATGTGTTTAGAGAGAATTTAATACGTTAGAGAGTATCTTTTCTGAAACAAAGAGTAAATTTCATAATAATTTAAAATATAAATAAAAAATTTGTGCTCCAATAGGGGTATCTATTCTTATTCTTATTATAAATAATTATTTTGATGAATAACAACGATTAATGAAGAAAAATGATATTTTAAACAAATTTATTAATAATTTTTGTTGGGATTAACCACTTTAGCACACAATTATTGTTTGATGAACTAATTAAGATGCTACTAACTTGGGATAATAGGTGTTAATGTTATGGTATCCAATGAGTTTGGTGAGGGGGAGGACAACAACTTATGCCTTGAACTTGACTCCACCAATATAAAGAAAAAGGGGACAATTTTGAAANGCTACTAATTTGGGATAATAGGTGTTAATATTATGGTATCCAATGAGTTTGGCGAGGGGGAGGACAACAACTTATGCCTTGAACTTGACTCCACCAATATAAAGAAAAAGGGGACAATTTTGAAAGTTTGATAGAATTTTCGTGTTAGTAATTTTAAATGATTGGAAATGAGTCCTTATCATTGGGCAGTTCTTATTCTTACCTACTCTTGATTTTCCCGTTTAACTAGCTTAAACGTCTTTCTTAATGGACTCCAATCACTCAATTGATACTCTTTATGGATCTAACTCATGTAACCGTTATATCATATCAACATTGTTAATACAATCTAATCATCTAATAAGAAAAGAACAAAAAAAATAAAATATGACCCATTTCTTATCATGAAGGCGGTGGTTATGTATGACATAACTAGGTAGTTATGAATTTTAGTGGAATTCATTTGATAATTTATTTACTTATTAGTGAACTGTTACACCATGTGACACTGCTGACATAGAGTAACGGTTCCATTCAATATTTTTCCCCCCAATAAGCATGTCAATGATCTCTTTGTCCTGACTCTCTTTATTCTAGGCTAGGAAACATTGGGTCTCTTCTTTTCTTTTGCTATAGGGGTGTCAAAGCTTATGCCGACTAAATCTCCTATCATATTACTTTAAAATGCAAATTAAGAAAAACAACGGATTATAAAATTTCGGATGTTTTGTCAAATTAACATTAGTTACGAAATGCTTTCTCAATCTAATATGAACTTTAAGATATGCTCATCTTAATTTTTTGCATCGTTAATTGAAGAATTACTAGATGTGAATTACATGTCAAATGGGTAGGACTCTTGTTATAAAAAATATTTTTGTCAAAAATAATTGATTCATAATGTTTCGTGAAGAATGTTATTTTGACAAATCAATCAAAAAAAGGAAAAAGTTATGTTTGATTGATGCCTAATTACCCTCGAATCAATCCTCTTGTCATCTCTACAATGGAAGGTTGATGCTTCAAAAAGTAAGGGTGGTTTCAGGAAATTCAAAAATATGTCGGTAAAAATCACCTAGCACTATGACTGTAGAACTAGAGATGTATGTGGACCGAAGCGGAGGCAGGGGATATAGTATCCATTCACATACGCGCTTAAAAAAATTTCATTTATCCTCAGTCTACTACTATTAACGGGTATAATTTTTATCTTCATTCCTATTCATTGGTAAATTTGTAATCTCCTCCCCGTTCCCACCTTCATTCCTGTCCAAGCCCAAGCCAAAGCCCAACATAATTCAACATTGTAAATAATTCAAAAAATCCAAAAAATTGCGTGTTACCAACTAAAAATTATCACATAATTCTTCTCATCAATAAAGACTAGCATTTTGTATATTGAGTAGGCAAGAAGTCTATCTAGCACTTTTTAAGCAAAAAGTTTATCCAACAATTTTCAATCAGCAAAAATCATATCTATCAATATAATCAGAATTCAACAAAAGTCATATTCAAGTAGCATAAAATTAGAAAATTCAAAATATTGCATATCTAACACAAAAAATCAGATGCAATACATGAAAATTATAGATCTAACACAAAAAAATAAAATAAAATAAAATAACATCTAAAAACTTCGTATCTAACACACTATAGATCTGAAATAAAAACTTTCAATAGCTAACACAACACAGACCTTTAGATCTAACAAAATTTATCACAAATTTAACAAAAAGGATCACAGATCTAACAAAACCTATCAAAAAGAACACAAAGATAATAGATCTTACCTTATTAGACAAAAAAAAAAAGTAAATCATTCAATTTTGAAATTAACTTTATAAGTGGTGTGAGAATGAGATTGAGATTTATGTATTTTATTTTATATATATATATATATCACATGTTAGCGGTAACGGGGGCGGGGAGGGGGACGGAGGTAAGCGTCAATTCATAGATTTATGCGAGTATTTGTGTATACGTCTATCGTCTAATATGTATAATCAATCACCAATTCCAATAAGACGGATTTTTGGACGAATATCTATTTGTTTTGTTTTTGTCCACTGTCATGCCCGATCCACAGCCATTCCTACACGGAACTAGAGGGAGGCTAAATTCCTAAACAATGACGTGAACACGTGGAATCAAACAATTGGACAGCAATTAAAAAAATTGCTTTTACAACCTCCCCTGTATGCACATAGATATATATACAGGCATTGAAGGGGAGGGCCGTTGTGGCTGAGATTTCGGAGCCCCCCAAACACAGCAGAGACACCTAGCAATGGCCACCCTCTTCCGGGCTCTTCTTGTGCTTCTTGCTCTAACAGGTTCATCTTCTACTTCGTTTGATGCTTTCTTTGATTCATTTTTTGTTTTGATTACTAAGGAAAACTCGAGCAAAAGTAAAAAGACTATTAATCTTTCATGTTTTGGTTATGAGAAAAGGGATCATGAATCTTTGTCAAGTATCTGTATGTAGCTCAGTTGGGTTTCTTTCTTTTTGCTTGTTTTTATTTCCTTTTCTGTTCTCTTGGGTGGCTAATTCCACTGAGATATTCAGGATTGAGTAGTTTAACTTCTTGTTTATTTACCTCCATATTCTTAGCAATCAGAATTGTAGTTCTCTATTGGATTTAATGTGTATCTACCTCATCCTTGGAGTTGATTTTTGTGGAATCTTGAAGGAATGGAATTAGAATTAGAAATAGAATTCAATTCTACGTTTCTGTTTATTCAGTTTGTATTTATGGATGATTATGATGTGACTTGCATTGTATTGGTTATGAGTTGTTGAATTGTGGACAATTGGTCTGGGAATCAGCGTCTTGTGTTATTTATTGTTTTTTACTTCACTTTCAAGCATAAAATTTGTTTTTGAACTCTTGATTTTTTTTCCCCAAATGCTTGGTGTGTTGGGTGGGTATCTTTGAAAAATAGGATTTCTTCTAATAATTTTGGTTTCTCTTTGTCAAATACTGAATTGTGTACAAATGCTACCTAGTCATAGGATTTTTTTCTCCATTCTTGAATATTTGTTTTATTGATTACCTCCTGAGCCAATGGAATCTTTGATTTACACTTTTGATCTTTTTGGTTTTCAGATTTATTTGTTAATATTCTCAGCCTTGGAATTGGAATTAACTATGGTCAGATTGCCAACAATCTCCCATCTCCTTCCCAGGTAGCCGTCCTCGTTACATCTCTCAACATCAGTAGAGTGAAACTCTATGATGCTGATCCAAATGTATTAAGCGCATTTTCCAGTTCAAATGTTGATTTTGTTATTGGACTTGGGAACGAATATCTTCAGAAAATGACTGATCCCAAGCAAGCACAAACTTGGATTGAACAACACGTTCAACCTTACCTTCCCCAGACCAAGATTACTTGTATAACCGTCGGAAATGAGATCTTATCTGGCAATGATACTCAGTTAATGGCTTATCTCCTCCCAGCAATGCAAACTATGCATGAAGCTCTCGTAAATCTTGGGCTGAGCAAACAAGTATACGTGACAACCGCACATTCACTTGCAATTTTGGGTAATTCCTTCCCACCTTCCTCGGGGACTTTCAGACAAGATCTTGCTGAGCGTATCCAGCCGATTCTCAGTTTTCATTCCCAGACCAATTCGCCGTTCCTCATAAATGCATATCCATTTTTTGCATACAAGGATAACCCAGGTCAGGTTTCACTGGAGTATGTGCTTTTCCAGCCTAACCCCGGGTTTACTGATCCCAATACGAATTTAAACTATGATAATATGTTGTATGCGCAAATCGATGCTGTTTATTCGGCAATGAAAGCAATGGGTCATACAGATGTACGAGTTAAAATTTCTGAGACGGGTTGGCCATCTAAGGGCGACCCCAATGAGGTTGGAGCAACACCACAGAATGCGCAATTGTACAACGGTAATTTGCTGCGCCGGATAGCGCAGCAACAAGGTACTCCAGCAAAATCATCAGTACCAATCGACGTTTATGTTTTTGCACTTTTTAATGAGAATCAGAAGCCTGGCCCAGCATCCGAGAGGAACTATGGGCTGTTCTATCCCAATGGCACTCCAGTTTATAACGTTGGTTTACAGGGTTCTACTCCACATATGGATGGTTTACTGGGTTCTCCTCCACATATGGAGTATTCAGCCTCCAAGAAAAATGTAAGCGTCTTAATTTTTTCAGCAGAGCTCTTTTTGTGTCTTCTTTCTTCGCATTTCTGCATTTCTCATATGTAAGTTCGAATCCATCGAACTGCAATGATTTAAATACAGAAAGCATAGGATCTAATGCTATGATTTTCTCATATTTTGCAGGCCTTGTCTATTTACACTCTTCTCCTTTTTTCCCTAGTATCGGTAATTATGCTTGAAAGGTGGAGAATTTATCGAAATTGAGGAAGATGGAAAAAGGGGAGCCTATTAAGGCCCCTCAAAAATATTGTCCTCCCCGTTTCGGAGGTAGATCTTAGAGGTAAGAAGTTCAATTCTCATTATTTTTCCTGTTTTTGATTGATTTGGGTTTTTCTTTTCATCCAAAGTTAAGATTGGGGTGCAAGAAACAATAATATTACCATACATATGGTATTTTTTATTTAGGAGGGTAGTCTTTCCCCATACTCTGATTTGAATTTCATTAGAAATCTGGATTCATGGTGAGTTTACATGGATGCACAATGTGTATGGTTGAAAATAGATTACGGCTGCGGTCAACTATTTAACACACCAATTTCTAATGATACCTTCCTTCTCTCATTCTTTATTCAAGGTATGGTAATGCGTCTCTATCCTTCTTATCTCCACTTATAATCATCCAGTATGAATCACACTGGCAACAAAATTCTGTTTATTTTCAACTAGACAAAAGTCCAAATTGGCTTCTATCAGGAAAAGAAAGACTCCATCAGAGTCCATCTTTGGCAGCCCTCTAATTTTTTAGTGAACCGCCTGACCTGAAAGCTCATCATCTTTGTCTGTGTTTGCTAAGCCTCTATCTGAAGATGACTTCCTTTGTCTATATCTTTTTTTATTTATATGAAAAAAGAATGTGCTGCATCAGCCTTACGTGGAGTATGCCCAAATATGTCCTGGTGTGACTCCATGTCAACATCATGTCTATTTCAAGCTTACATCTACAGCCTACTTTTTGTGTTGGGGACTTTTCAAGTGGCAATTTAATATCTTCTATCATACTAGGGTTGGTTTTATTTTTTTGGGCCTCTGTCCCTCCTATCAAGTTTGTATTATCTCCCGTCATGTTCAACCTTGTTCTTTTCCTATTTAACATTTCGTGTGTATCACTTGATATTGTTCTATGATGCCATGAGCGTTGTGTCTCAGTTCCCTCTGAAACAATATCAGATACTGCGACCTTGAATCATGAGTTACAAAGGTGACTTGTGGCTTTCAATTTTGTGAGAGCCCTTTTGGCTATAGGGAATACTTACATCAGCACGACCCTAAAGAGATAAAGATAGACGAATCCAGTTGGCAAATTCTTATAGCGACTGGCTAAAGTGGCTATATACCTTTCATATTTGATTCCCCTTTGGTAGGCCAGCCAACACTTATTATCAACCGACCTATTATCAAAAAAAAAAAAAAAAAAGAATCTTTGTGGTCCCTACAACATTTGATCTCCATACCAAGGTGGTCTGAAACCTCTGCTTCACTAAAACATGAGTTTGGCAAATGGCTTATGGCTGATGGTTGAAATTGAAAAGAGTCTAGGCTACTTTTAAAATGATGAGAAATGTATTCTACAATACAATGAATTATGCAGTGGTTGGTAGGCCATCACTTGCACTGTCCACAGGAAGTTTAAGATATTCTTTCTCTGTCAACTGTATTTAGCCTAGCAAACTGTCATCATAATTAGTCCGCGGTATTTAATTGAATGATTAGTTTTCAAATACGATAGTCATTGATAGTAACATTTAATTCTGCATACAATTAATCTCGTGCCATCTTTATTTACAGGGAGTCAATTATGGCGCAAGTTTTGTTTTTCATCATGGATGTCACGGGGCTAGACAACGATGGCGGATCAGAGAATTTTCTCTTTGGACTTCATCAGAACCACTGTTGTATACATACCAAACGAGTTCATTACTTCGAAAGGTAATTCATCTTAGAATTTATGATACTCATAAAATAATTCTCAGCAATAAAGTGAACCAACGGCGCTGGAATGGTAATAAGGGTAATACAATTCTTTGACAAAACAAACGATAGTTTGTAACTTAGTGAAGATTTTAGGGGAGTTTATTGGATTGTATGTAGGGGAACATTATATTTCTGAGATTTATCATAGTTTTATATTTTGTTCGTCTTTATAGAACTATAGCTTGATCGAAAACTTGGAAAATGTGTAATATTATATTGTCTCATCTATCGGTACTTTATTACCTTGTTATGACATATTCATGTTACAGAATAGGGGTTTTCTGCAAGTAGCTTTCTTCTTTCTCTCAACATACTAGAAATGTTTTTGGTGTGCATAACATTGCTCGTATAAATAATAATCATAAACACAAAATGCTTCAACAAATTAATGAACGACTAATGGACGATTAAAGCCAGTACTACACTCGTTGTGGCTGGGTTTTATTTATTTTTTCAAAAATTGTCGTTGTATTCATTGTATAAGACTTTCGTGATTTGATGAAACAAAAGGAAGAAAACATATGCATGTTTAATTGCACTTTCCCATATAAAACTGAACCTTACTCCTGCCTTGGTTTTGTAATTTAAATATCAAAGTTGATGCTGTGAGTTCCATAACTCATGTGCCAATCTTTTCACTACTAGGTATGGTACCTCAATTATTTTTTTTTTTTTTTTTTTTGGGGGGGGGTGGTTATAATTTTAGGGTTAATAACAAAATACCCCCTCCAAGTACTCCCTCAAGTTTCAATTTCGACAATTAACCCCCTTAAAAAAAATTTGGACTTAAAATTAAATGATAGAGTGGATGAAAAATACAAAATTTCTAAAATACCCCAACTCCGGCGATATCTCCAACCCCCTTCTCTCATTTGGACGGCGCCCCCCAACCTCTTGCTCTGGCGGTCCCCAAACCCCCACCCCTCTGCTCCAGCGGTGCTCCCAAAATCCGTTCCCTTGCTCTAGCGGTCCCCTACCCCATACCCAACGCCGATAGCACCCCCAAGCCCCACCCCCACCTTCTACTGTCTCCTATGCCCCATCATCAAACAAGCAAGTCCAACAAATCAATGTATTCTTTGATCTAAAAAACAAATAACCACAAATATGTAGACAAAAATGGATCCAAATATCATTACCCATCGACTACCACCATTAGAAACTTGTCCATTTTTCCTTTTTCCTTTTTCCTATTTCCTTCTTCTCTATCTAGTCAACCACAGCACATCAACCATTGAATCTAGCCGTTTATATATATGAATCTCTCTCCTCCAGATGGGTGTTGATTAATGGACCTAAATTATTAAATTGCACAATTTTAACTTATATTTGCATAGAAATATATATGATTTAAATTGGATCAAAAGTGGACTGCATATCAATATGCCTAAGTTTGAATTTGTGAAATATATATATATATATATATATATATATATATATATATTCATTAAAGACTTACTAGTGAACATAAAAATCCAACAGTATTTGATTAGTTATGGGTGATATTATTTTTTCTTTATCTTATCAGTTGTTTATTCTATAAATATGGTTTGATTCATATAATCATGGTCTTTTAAACCCTAACATTTGTTCTGACCCCAAAAAAAAAAAATTCAACATCATTTTAAAAAATTTACCAATTTAAAGACCCACCAGTCACGGGGCAAGTGCGCGTGTGAAGTGTAAAATGAGCCTGAAGCGCCAATTCAACTCTGCACGTGCGCACATCTGGTGGCTCATGTCTTTCTCTTGTGCCAAGAAAATACGTGTGAAAAACCTCTCAAGCCATGTCCCGGCGTGGATTTCCTAGAATTAGATCATAAAAAATTTATTATTTATAAAAATTATAGTTTTAGTGTGGATTACTTGTCTTTGACTTAATCAAAAAAAAAATTAATCGATGTGTACGTAAATTAACTCAAACACTTTTCATCGTTAGAAAAAAAAAAAACCTCTTCATAAAATAACACTTAAAAATCTTCTCTACAATCAACGTTGAGTAGAAGTTTTAATGCACCGAAAGTGGAAGTTATATTTCAAGAAAGGACAAACATTATAATACTTTCTGTACTCATGATGCAAGTCAGTTCCGTCAAGTGGAAGTAATTATAGGAGCTTTCAAGTCTAAGGTAAGCCTTCCTTCGTATATCATTGAAAGGAAAAAGAGTAGGCGAGGATGAATATGTTTATTTGTCTTGCCAAAGCTTTTTGTTTTTTAAGTTAAGAGTTCGAGTTCAAGTTCAAGTTCAAGTTCACTTATCTCTTTCTCTCCACCTCCCCAAAAAAAAAAAAAATTCATAAAATACGCAAAAAAAATACGAATTTCTTTCTGTATTCAAACATGTTTCTAATTGCTCGAACTATTGTTGTAGCGTGAGCCTTGACAGTACTCGAAATTAGACAATCAACTTGAATTCCTCTAAATGAATCTTTTTTTATTAATGATCGGGAGTAAAATCACTTGCCCAGGAGCTAAAAAAAATGTAGGAAAGTAATTTTTTTTTTTTTAAGCAAAGAAGGGTGATAGAGTGGTTGTCGTGCAAACAAGCGAAGTATAAAAAAAAAGAAGGTAATGAAAATCATGTCCTCACATCTTATTACCACCATCCAAACCACCCCCAAAAATAAAAAAACCCAAAAAAAAAAACCGAAAAACAGCCCAAGGGGAAGTTTACAGCCATATAATCATGTAAAGGTTCTCAGTATTTCAAATCAATGTTCTGAATCCAAGAAATCATCATTTATATTCCAGAAGCTAAATCAATTCTTCACCCCTGCTGCTAATTCATAAGGTGTATGAAACTACCTAAGCGACAGTTCTAAATGAGACCTTCTGTATACAAAGATATACACATTTCTCAATTTACAGAGAATCTTTCACATCTCTTATTCTTGGATATACAAGCCAATGCTCAAAACACAGGAATTGAAAATCAAAAGGTAAAGGCTATGACACAAGAAATGGAATGACCATAGACATGAATGTGTCATAAGTAAGCGTTGCCGAACCAGTGTAACGAGGATCCTTCTCCTTGAATTTTTCAGTTAAACCCTGAAAATTGCATATGCATAGATGAGGAACAAAATCATAAACAGGTTCAAAACTACTAGCTGACCAGATAATTTCCAGTGTCCATTCCAAACAAGTTGGAACATCAGATAAATAGGGGTGTTCACAATTCCCCCCCCCTCACCCGACCCGTATCGCAATATTCCGATTCTACCCTACCCGATAATTTGGCTTCTGCATTTTTTCGGCCAACTAACGGAAGGTTTTTTTAGTATTTCGCAAATAGAATGCTAAATACCCATAAAATTTTCGCATTGCTACCCTACCTTCCCAGCCCATTTTTAGGACAGAATTTGGCTCGAAACATTATCATCAATCGAGTAGGATCAGCCAAAGAAATAATTTTCTGCAACTCATCGGCCCGGAACATGAAATCTAAAAATTCCTACCCGTCGGCTTGGGTGAACAGACCTACTGATAGATATGGAAAGCACCAATAACCACAACACATAAAGCATTAAGAAATGAAAAGGAAAATTGGCTGCTGGGGAATAATTTGTTGTGTACCTTCACGATCATCCCACACCTGCACATACAACCAGAATCCTTATTATACAATGTTCTAGAAAGTCCAAAAGAACTAGCAAGCCATGGTGACCAAGCAAGGAAATCTTACTCAACAAAACTATCAAAATTAAGCTCAACCCTCCGGCCACTTCCATCATCATATCTAGAAATCAAAACTTGAAGAACAGAAGGTGGAATTGCATATCCGAGACTGTGGAGAGCATCTCTTAGTTCCATTGCATCAATTCTTCCGCTCTGATCCCTGTCGAATCTCTCAAAAATGGCCTACAATTATATAGCAGGCATCAAATAAATATATAGACTGAAATATAGAAGAGAAGAGAAGTCCTGAGAAGTACTTCACTTAGCATTTCTCTCACTGAAAGATTGGTTCAGCAGAAAATTTTAGGAAACTAAATGGCGCTATGATGAGTATGTAATCTCTAATTAACTTGCTTAAATCAAGGGATTCTTCCAACAAAGTTCGTCCTCAGCAGTCAGCACTATTAAAAGCAGACAGTTTAACAAGAATGCAAAATGTCTGAACTTTCAACATAATAACTGCAACCATACTATAATCTAATATGCTTAAGTCTATTTTTCACGCGATTACAATAATATTTTGGTTCTAGAGTTTGCTTCAAATTCACGATACCATGCTGCACTAATTCACTTGCCTTTCCTCTATGGACTAAGTGCGTCACTGCTGCATTTGCTCGTGTGGGTCTTTCTAAAAGGATACCAGATATAGCAAATTTAAGCACCACACAAGCAAACATGTTTCATTCCCCCCAATTAATTTTCTAAATACCAACCAACCACGTAAAAGTTCATGCTTTTTTATTTAGGGAATTGCTAGTCCGATTCATATAACTATCACGACCATCTGTTCAAAAAATAAGCTATCACGATCATCATAGGTAGCTTTTTTTTTTTTCTTTTTTTTTTAAAATTTAGGATATGAAATTATGTACTTGTGTTACCTGTGATTATTTGTGTATGATAAAAAGCAGAATAAAAATGCTCACCCGCCATTGACGAAGACAGCTCCATAATGCAGCAAACTCTTTGGGCCCTGTATAGGGGAAAACAAAGCCGACATCAACACAAAGAATGAGACCAAACCCAAATCTAACTGGTCAAAGGAGCACATGTACAAGACCAAATTGCCATAGAACTTAAAAGTAACATTTTTCTTTTTTCTTTTTTTTTTTTTGGTTGACTAATTCCCACACCCTTGGTCAAAATAAAACAGGTCATCCACGCCGAGATTAGGGGATTTATAAGAGATAAATCCCTCGTACCCGACCCCAAGAGGATGCCCAAATTTGAACTCAGATTTACGTACCATCAACAAACTCATAAATTCATTTCAACAACGCAAAATTTACACAAAACCCAAATCAAAATCAGCCAGAAATCCCCCCAAAAAAAAATAATTATTGCTCTCAAGAAGTAATCCTAACAATCTCAATGAATTCTCCCATCATTCTCATCTCCGTTCACCCAAATGCTCATGTAAAGACCCATTGAAACAATGTATACCACACAAGCCTCATTCTAGATTCTTGCTTTAATTTGGAATTCAAAGTATAAGAGTTTGCACAAGCTTCCCATGCTTAGAAAAAAGAAAAATCTTGGCAATAGGACGTACTGTAAACTCGAGTTTGAATCATGAATAACTTAATTAATTCTGACCTAAATGATTTATCTTTTAATCGAACCGGGGAGGAATTTTGGACGACATTGAATCAAAAAAAAAAAAAAAGAAAAAAGAAAAATCAAGTGCAAATATTTCTGTAACACAAAATTTCAAAAACTCACCAATTTTAAGAGATTTCTCAATTGGGTCCTTGAAGAGAAACATGAGCAACCGAATAGTCTCCAGACTAAACCTCTGGTAACTCGAAGACAAAGCCTGTTGCAACTCCTTCTCATCTATGAACCCACTTATGTCCCTGTCCACCGTTTGGAAGCTCTGAATCACTTCCGGGTGGGTCCCTGGAGGAAAAGAAGGGTACCCATATGATGAAACCGACCCATAATTGCTCTGAGGGTGAGGCTGGCCATAGTAGTTTGGAATTGGATGCGGAGGAGGAGGAAGTGTAGATGACGGGTATGGGTGGGCCAAAGCGGGCTGTGAGTCGGGCAAGGGCGGTGCAGAGGGATTGTAGGATTGAGAGTTGTATCCACTGCCATGGGAAGCCATAGATGAGACCTCTGGAAGTTTATTGTATTTTAGACAAAAAGCAAGTCCAAAATCATTCTAATTTCGTATACAACTCAACTTATGTCTACCCACTACCTTATTCCAACCAAAAAAACCTTATTATTTAGTACTTATCAAAATGTACCGGATTCTAACTCAAATTCATTTAATCGGGGATAAATTAATATTTTTTTATCAATAATTTAAATTCAAATTTAATCTATAATAATAAGATAGAGATATTTTTAAATTTTTAAGTTGAAAAAGCACAAAAATAATTTAGATTTATTTAAAAATATTGATTCAAAGGTCTAAAATCACTTCCACAAAATTTTCTCTCATATATGTTACATTCAAACCCAAATCCCAATCGTCTAGAATTGATCTAATTGTTGAAATCACTCTAATCCTTCTCTCACGTGTCTTCTCTCTCTTGCCTCACCCCTCTCAACTTCAATTCTTTCAACCACTCCCCCGCATAACCAGCCTCTCTTTGGCTCTCAGCACCTATCTCCCTCATATCTCTCACCCTCTCTTTGCTTCTCTACCTGTCTTTCTCACCATCCTCTCTGTTCTCCCACCCCCAAATCAGTTGAAGAAAACCACCGCCTCTCAGTAGTGACAACGATGGCAATGCTTCCCAAACCAACAGTCAAGTATCTCTCTCTTACGACATGTCCAACCCTACTCAAATTTAGTCTCAAATTTAAAATTGAATAAAAAAATCTAAAAAACTTGCTTCAATTCTCGATTCAAACTTGTACAAATCAAGGGAAACTTATTTTTTTACTCAAATAAAGGGTAACTCAAATCTTTAATAGTAAAATTTTACCATCTTTTAAAAATTTAATGGTCATTTTTACTCCCTTTTAAATTTGAGTTTGTCATCATTTAAATTTGGGTCTCTCATTCTTTAAATTTGAGTTTGTTTATTAGAGTCATTTATGTCAAATCAAATTTTTTACTCAAATATTAATCTAAATTCAAGTAAAAATTTGAATCATAGTCGAAGATGCTCTTAAGAAACATTTGGATAATAGGTTAAAGGTGAAATGGGATAAAATAAGAGTGAGACCAGATAACCTTTGTTTGGAAAGTCATTTTTGAGATTGGATATAACTCTCGGGTCAAGCTCGGCCCGATTGCTACATATCCGGCTCCACTNGATTGGATAGGTTAGGATATAATGGTTTCTCTTTCAACCGATATTCTTTCGGTTATTATGGGTGAAATCAAGCCCATGATTTCCAACTAATATTCTTTTGGTTAATATCGGATTTCCAAGAAAAGGCCAGCACCACAACACTGGCGTCGCTCTGAGGTAGTTTTTTTCCTCCCCGTCCTCTCCCTTTCTTTCTCTCATCCTCTCTGCGCACAAACCACCCCCANGGACCTCTATCTTCTCCTGTCAACCAGAGCGCGAAGGAGCTGAGCTTATCCAAGGCCTGTTGCACGGAGGCGAGGAAGAAGACGACAATCTAAGGTCCTCTAACTTTCTGCTTCGTGTGGTTGACGACATCACTGGATTGAGGTAAGTTTCTCCGGTCTCTCTCTATCTCGGTCTCTTTCTCTCTCCTCTCTTTCTCTCTATCTCTCGCTTTGTGAAGGCGATGAAGCCCAAGTCCACCGTTTCTGCTGGGATGAGTTTGGGTGCCTGAGTGGACCGAATGAAGAAGAGATCTTCACCACGATGGTGGATCATTTTGAAACCCTAATTCCTGTTATGAAATTAACTCCCCTCTATCTCTCAGATCTGATGTGATGGTGGGTCATTTTGAAATCCTAATTCTCCTCTCTGTCTTTCAGATTTGAGTCATTTTGAAATCCTAACTACACACACAATGAGACTTTGTTCACTTTTGTGAGGAATTGGATTCCTTATTATATGCCTACGAGGTCAATTTGTAAATCTTACCCCAAACTTAATCTTCTTCTTCATTCACATACTGTCAAGGTCGAAGGGTTTTCTTAGCCCAATTGTGTGTCTATAATTTGAATTCATTGTATTAATGCTAGGTTGTTAGTTATGTTTGATTAACAAGTGTATTTAACTGCTAGCTGGGTATGATTCTTTTACATTTTTTCATCTTCTCCTCTATGTTTTGTTGGTATATTGTTCAAGTTCTTGGTCGATTGCTACTTATGGTTTTTTCATTTTGATGATTTATGTGTGTTGATTATTTTCTTAGAAATATTCAAGCTACTCAAAACCAACAATATTGTGCTTTTGTTTCATTTTGTTTTTGAGAATTGAAGTATGAATTGTGAATTGAATTATGTATTATGAATTGAATTATGAAGTGTAAACTGAATTATGAATTATGAATGGTGAATTTGGAATTATGAATTGTGATTTATGAATTATAAAGTATGAATTAGGATTTGAGAATTATGAAGTTTGAATTGGTTTTGTGCATCTGTGTGTACATCAAGAATGTTGAGTATAATATGTTTGATGAATTGTGTAAATGAATTTTTCAACATCTAAAAATGAATTGCCTATTTGTGTGTGGATCTCCAATATTGGTTGGACAATGTTTCTTTAATATTAAGGGTGGATGTAAGGCCAACCTATTTTTCAATGATCTTTGAGTTATGTGGTTCTTTAATATTAATGGTGGATGTAAGGCCAACCTATTTTTCAATGATCTCTAAGTTATTAACCGGTACCATAAGACAACTGCCATATACGAAGTTTACTTACCATTGATGCCATGTAGAGCCTTCTTGGACTCTAAAAAGCTCAGTTATTTTTCTTTGCATTCGGCTTGAGATTCTATTTCTATTAGAATGAGGAGTGAAATTGATGAAGTGGCAGCAGCTATGTGGAAACAGGAGGCTCCGCCTACAACAAACCTTCTTGGGTGGAAAGCTTATGAATATCCTTTTCCATTTCATGAGTTTCATTTTCTATTTTATTACTTTATGATCTTGATGTACTTAGATTCATATTTACGGGTAAGGTTTTATGTCCCCCCGATTAGGTGTAATATTTGATTTGGAATTAATAATATTTATCCTCGCATTGTGGAGGTTTTACTCTAGAGAGAGAGAGAGGTCCATGGGTAAAATGGTAAACTTCTACAAAAGAAATGATCTAATCCATAGGACCCACGAAATTGCACTTTTGTTTTCCAAACAATGGTTTGGACTGGATATAATCTCTAACCCATCTAATTTTGGCAGTTGAATGGGTTTGGGTTTGATAAGTTAGTATATAAAAAAGAAATAAAATTCTTTCGGTTGGATAGGTTAGGATATAATGGTTTCTCTTTCAACCGATATTCTTTCGGTTATTATGGGGGAAATCAAGCCCATGATTTCCAACTAATATTCTTTTGGTTAATATCGGATTTCCAAGAAAAGGCCAGCACCACAACACTGGCGTCGCTCTGAGGTAGTTTTTTTCCTCCCCGTCCTCTCCCTTTCTTTCTCTCATCCTCTCTGCGCACAAACCACCCCCAAACCCTCTGTATTTCACCCACCCATACCATTTTCTCATTCTCTTACCCCATTTGTCTCCTCCTCCCTCTCTAGCTTCCCTTTCTGTTCTCCTATTGTCTCTCCAAAATCCCTCACAGCACACTCTGAAACTCCTTACATATCTGTCAACACACCTACACCCTCACAGCACAAACACCCTCCAAAACCACATCCATCGCCATCACCACCACCGCATCCCCTTCCTCCTCTGCTTCCACCCCTTCATATCATCAACACCCACCACGTGTTTGATGGTTTGCTTCAAAGAAAATGCATTATCAATTCCCAAGTGTTTGATGGGTTTACATCTACTAATTTTTGTGTTCAATCTCATTATGGGTCACCTCATTTTCTAATTATAGGTAAGCCCTATAGTGATTTTAGTTTTTACACATACAATATTCTTAAAGATTATTAACCTACATGTCTGCGACATTGATTTTTTTTATACACATTTTTTGGTAATGAATGGAATGAGGAGTTTTAAAGGTGGTTGTTTTAATATGCTTATTTGTTGTTTCAGCTGATAAAGGTAATAATTTATTAATGCAATATCTAGAAATTTGTTGTTTTGAGTCTATTGGGATAAAGTAGCTGTTGTAGTTGTTTTCATTGTTGGAAAGGCCTAATTTTTTATCCTAGAAGTGTTGTAGTTCTCATTTTTTTTTTTTGTAATGTCAGCGGACTATTTTTGTAAATACCGAAACTATGGGTTTATGTATACTTGATTCTTGCTTAGAGCATTTAAGGTTCCCAGTTCCCATTTTTTTTAATTTTGTGCTTCTGCTATAACTGCCAAATATTACATATGTGAAGCTTCAATTTCTCACATTCATGGTTCCTTTTGCTATTCTAATCTTAGTTTTGGGTTTTCCAAGATTTCATTTCCAAGTTTTGGGTTCAATTTCTCACATTCAAGGTTTTGCCTTTTCATGTAATTTTTTGTGATATTCAATTGCAGTAGCTGAGATAGCTCTTAAATTTTAAGGTCCTTCCTAATTTTTGAATGCTAACAATATGACGAGGCTGTAAATTTGAGAGATTAACTCTTAGATTTGTGAACACAATAGATAGGAGAAGATAAGATAAGAGAGTTTTCAAAGAACAATTTTCAGATACAACTAATATTTATAGATGAGCTAATCTTCTATTGTTACTAACCAAGTTAGTCACGTGTAGTTAGTCACAACAGATCAAGTACATCTATGTGTTTGTAACATTTTTTTTGTGAGGTGGATATATTTGATTTGAGTTTATTTGACTTGAATATTTGTTCAACTGCTNATTGTTACTAACCAAGTTAGGCACGTGTAGTTAGTCACAACAGATCAAGTACATCTATGTGTTTGTAACATTTTTTTCGTGAGGTGGATATATTTGATTTGAGTTTATTTGACTTGAATATTTGTTCAACTGCTCTATTGAAGGTGGGTTCAGGTATGTGTATGGTAGACTCATGGATATTTGACGTCATACTTTTGTTGTAAAGCTCCTTGGTGGCCATAAAAGTAAATTTTTTACCTCTTTTAATTTTCTATCGGTATTTTTCATTTTCATCATACCAACCAATTCTATTTATTCTCTCCTCCAATGAGAGT